TGCCAATATCTAAATCATTGATGAAGATATTGAACAGAGCGGTCCCAAAACAGACCCTGCGGAACCCCACTTGTTATGCCTTTCTAGCAGGATTGTGAACCATTAATAACTACTCTCTGAGTACGGTTATCCAGTCAGTTATGCACCCACCTTATAGTAGCCCCATCTAGTTTATTGATAAGAATATCATGCGAGATCATATCGAACGCCTTACTAAAGTCTAGGTATACCACATCCACTGCTTCTCCCTTATCAACAAGACTCGTTATCCTATTAAACAAAGCTATCAGATTGGTTTGACATGATTTGTTCTTTACAAATCCATGCTGGCTGTTCCCTATCACCTTGCCACTTTCCAAGTGTTTACAGATGATTTCCTTAATTACTTGCTCCATTATCTTCCCTGGCACAGAAGTTAAACTAACTGGTCTGTAGTTTCCTGGGTTGTTCTTATTTCCCTTTTTATAAATGGACACTATATTTGCTCTAGTGGGTGTCATGTGCAAGTCTCTTCAGAAAGAAATCAGCAACTATCCTGAACATCCCACCCCTTGCAGAGGTAAACACAGAGGAATAAAGGAGTGCTCCCTGACACATAAGAGTCTGCTAGAGATTCAAACATCTCCCCTGACAATGCTGTTCATTCACCCGTAAGACATGAATATTTTCTCCACAAGTGCACTCAGCTCCTTTTGGAAGTACTCACTTATTTGCTCCCCCTTTGTATGTTGTTTATAATGCCACATGCAGCTGGGTGCTGTCACAAAATGCAACAAGATGTTAATCTGTTCAGCTATTCCAGAGTCCTGTGTGGATACATCATTTTTATCTGCAAACATGAGCTATGGATGCGAATATCCATAGATATAAATAGCAGATATCTGTGGATTTGCAGCCCTCCCCCGCAATTCACATCTGCCAGTTATAGGGGGAATGGTAAGGCCCCTGGAGGCAGATAGGCTGGCCATAACCCCCTTCCAACTTGCTGATGACAAGAACTCATAACCTGGGACACCATTTCTCTTGGTTGGGCAGCATCTGAGCAGCCAAACAACTTAGTTCATTAGTTGCTAGGCATAGCAGTACCACATTTTGTACAGCTGCAGTGACATATAATGCGAAATATTTACTTGTTGATTTATATAGTCAAATGTACTTTATATAGAGCCTAGTAGCACTATAGATTTAGTGCTTTTGTAAAAAGCATTGACTTGAGCCTAGATTTCCCTTAAGGTTTCCCCCAAACAATAGGAGTATGGGACCTCATTCCGTGTTCCCTTCAAAAAACAAACAGGTTTGTGAAGAGTCAGTGGTAGCTTGGAGGGGACCTAAGAGAATGCGAGAAGTGTAGATACACGCAGGAGAAAAAGAGCAAAGGGAGAGTGAGGTGGGCAAATTGACCGTTTTAAAGCAAGCAGCAGTGGGAGAACCAGAAACAATCTCTGGTCAAGCAGCTCAGCAGTAAACTCTCCTTAGATCACAATGACAGAAAACCCAGCATTAACAACAGTCCTCTCCATGCATTTAAACACCTTGACTAGGTTTATAAAGATTATTTTATCTGCACTGATTTGACCAATCCAAATTAACATTTAAAAAATAGATTAAACCCATGGACAAAAATGTCTTTCCCCTCACAAGAGCACATTACTAGCAGTCAGTAAAATCTAATGCTCTACTCATTTAAAAAGTGAAGTGATAGATTCAGAGGAAGGAATTTAAGTAACATAAAATAAATATTATAGCATTGGAGGGGATGAGCTGAGATGGGGTTTTCTGGGTGATGAACACAATTTCTTCAGAGATGTAATTATATTAATATCTGCTTGCTTTTTTAAAACAATAGGGTACATCACTGTTCCTTACAATCCTACTTCTCAAGTACAAATATTTATGTTCAATAAGGTATTTACAAATAGGTTGACTTTCTAACATCTTGGGAGGGCAGCAATGAAAAAAATTATTTTTATCTTCATTAACTGACCTTAACAAAAAACTAAAAATGCTTCTTTAGACTGAATCAGACCAACACATTGATGTAATCAGCAGGTTTTTTTCCCCCACTGTTGCAAGTGTTCTGTCTCCCCCAACTTTCAAATTCATAAAAGCTGAACATTTGAAAATAAAATTGGGGCTTACTAGGTAATACTTTTGGATAAGAAATAATATACCATACATGATGTCAGTTATCCTGCTGTAATTACATTGTAACTATTCCCCTGCCAACTTTATTAGTTTGTGTTCCAGAGCTGCTAATAAAGATTAGCTAATGTCCCTGGCTCAGATAAAATCAGGGGAATCTAAAAACTCATAGCTAGTTTACTCAAGTACAAATTTAGTTAAAAAAGCCAACAACCTGAGAACCAAGAAAAATAGTAAAATGCAGGAGAAAAGAGGCAATGAGATTAAAAAAAGTAATCAGGAACTCTGCCTGACCCTATTGTTTACATTCTGGATCTTCACTGAATGAGACATTTCCTATTTAGAATAGAGGAGCTGCTTATGTATTTCTCTTGAGCCATTACTTACTGTTTGACTATACAGACATAAGAATAAAAGATAAACAAATGAACTATTTCTTTCTTTTAATTAGCTTCCCCACCTAAAATATTGAAAAGACTGCAAGAATAGGGAAAAGTTGGTGATTTTCAGAACTGAATGTTTCCATTATTATTGACTTTTATTTCTGCATCATGCAATTTTGTGGCCAAAATAAAACAAATCTATTCATCCACCAAGAGCTTTTTGAACCCTCTCTTAAAAATAGTCCGCAAATAGTTAGCAGGTCTCCCACCCCAGTTCTATGCAGCTTTTTGCTCATTTTGTGGTATAACAATAAGGTAAACTGATGCAAAGGAAGAGGCCAGGCTCTATTAGCATCCAAAATACCCTCCTGAAGATACATTCACCTTTAGCTTTAGTAAAAGAATAGTATAAAAGTTAGATCTTATTCATTACACAATTGAAGAATTAGTCTTAGATTTAAATTTTCTATTTCCCACTCCCCCAAGTTGATAGATGAGTAGAAAGTACTGAAATTTAAACATCACAAGAATAGAGTTAAATTTCATCTGCTTGTGATAGTCTGATTTGGAAGTCTCATAAGAAACAACTAAGGGCTGTTAGAAATACCAATTAAACAATTTTTTTACCAAAAAATGGGGTACACTTTAATACACATCTACTATCAATACAGTATTCAGCACACATGCCTAAAATATCCATTATCTTAAAGTGAAATATGAGAGCGCGTACAAGATGGGTGCTTCAATAAACTGTACACAAAACTACTAACAAACATTTTAAAAGCCTTACAAAAATGGATGAAACATGGTTCTTTTCTTTTTAATTACAGATACTTACAGATTTTCACATTTACTGGCTAACCTCTACAGGAATAACTTCAGATATAATTGGTTTCTCTGAGGTATGATCACCTCGACTGAGAACCACATGCAGCTTTCAGATGGGTAGAAAGCACTCTGCTTCACTAGTTATACTTACTTCTTGGTATGTGTTTGCAATAGATATTAAAGGCTCATACACATTATAGCAGAAGACTGCATATTCTTACTGGCAGTTATACAATATATTATATGGATGAAATTATTTAAGGGATATCACTATTTTATTTTTTGTGAAGCTGGGCAGAAATTAAATGGAAATATTTGCATTGTATGTTTTGAGCAAGCACAGATAATGCTTTTTGCTGGGGCAGAATGTGCCACGTATGAACTTTACGAGCATTTTCTGAAGCTTTTTGGGAGTTTCTATGATACATGTACACTGCCAAAAATCCTTCTGTTAGAAAATGAAAGGGGTTTATCTTCATTTGAATGAGGAACTGCAGAGAACCTGACCATGTTGTCATGGCTTAGAAAACACAAAATGTAGTATTTCCATGCTTATTGCAATTTAATCATTAATTCAACTAGGTTTGGTGGGTGCCTTCAATCTGACAGTAGGTGTCCTCATTTGTACTTTTGCTTGCTGATTTTGGGCTTCAGATGGTACTGGTGCCTGGGCTGTATTCTGTACACCCGGGGCTTGAATTTGGGGAGATGCTGTTGTAACAACTTGCTGCTGTATCAGTTTCTGCTGGACCACTTGAGCTGTAGCAGTTGTTGCTGGAATCACTTGGACTTGCTGTTGACCAGCAGTAGTCTGAGACAGTGTCACAGTTTGGGGCTGAGCCTGAACCTAAAAATATTATAAATGACAGAAAATAAAAATATGGTTCAACATTAAATACAGAGTTCGTCACTAGTACGAACATGCCTAAAATATGCCTAAAACATCACAGTGTAACAGTTCACTTGTACGGTCTTACTTCTGACTGACAGGCAGGTGAACCAATCATAGTAGATTAGATAGATAGATAAAGCTAGTGAAGTGTGTGCCCCCTCTATCTATTTATCTATCTAAGAATGCACCTATCTAAGTGTGTTTGAGAGTCCATTTGTTTGAGAACTCCTCCTAATAGTAAGAGATAGGGCCACCAAATTTGGTAGGCGGCTTCTTCTTCTCCTAACTTAAAGCAAGGTCAGAATTTGGTTGAGCCAGGAGAAAAGAATAGTTACTTACCTGTAACTGTTGTTCTTTGAGATGTGTTTCTCATGTCCATTCGAATCAGGTGCGTGCACCACATGCACCGCGTCTGCCGGAGCGTTTTCCCTAGTGGTACCCGTAGTGCCAGGAGGGCGCCCCTGGAGTGGCACCCTATGGCGGAGCATAAGTACCCCTACCGGCCTTCTCCCTCCTCAGTTCCTTCTTGCCAGACTCTCCGACAAAGGAGAGGCAGGGGGGGAAATCGAATGGACCTGAGCAACACATTTTGAAGAACAAGTTACAGGTAAGTAACTGTTCTTTTCTTCTTCGAGTGGTTGCTCATGTCCATTCGAATCAGGTGACTTCCCATTTACGGAGGAGGGGTCGGAGCACCAAGAAAGAGAAGTCCATGAAAGCTGAACAATCCAGAACATATTTATTCCAGTAATATAACACAGGAAACTGTTAACTAAAGTGCAATGTGGTACGGAGAAAAAATAAACATATTTACAACACAGAGCTGAGGACCGCAGAGCCCAACCCTGCGTCCTTCCTGGCCTGCTGTGTCAGCACATAGTGCGCCGTAAAGGTACACACTGACGACCATGTGGCTGCCCTGCAGATTTCTGTAATGGGAACCTGCGCCCCAAAAGCTACAGAGGACACCTGCGCCCTGATGGAATGTGCTGTAACCCGGGGCGGGACCTTCCCAGCCAGGACATAAGAGTCCTTGGACAACCTCTGGATCGAAATAGGGAGCCCTTTCATTCTGTCCGGGAAAACCATGAACAGTCGCATGGACTTGTGAAAGGGTTTCGTTCCGTCAACATAAAAGGCTAATGCCCGCCTAGCGTCTAGGGAGTAGAGTACTTGCTCCCTAGGAGAGGCATTGGGGCTTTGGAAAGAAAACCGGGAGGTAAATTTCTTGGGACAGATGGAACGGTGACACCACCTTGGGGAGAAAGGCCGGGTGAGGGTGAAGCCTCACATTATTCTCTGAGAACACTAGGTAGAGGGGGTTTACAGTTAGCGCCCTCAGCTCGGAGACCCTGTGAGCCGACGTAATGGCTACAATGAACGCAAACTTCATAAAGAGGTGCTTCAAAGAACACGTAGCCAGCGGCTCAAAGGGGGGGCAACACAAGTCTAGACAACACAAGGTTAAGGTCCCAAGCGGGGAGAGGGGGTCTAACCAAGGGATATGACTCATCCAAACCCTTAAGGAACCTTTTGACGACAGGTTCAGAGAACAGAGAGACTCCTGCTGATCCAACATGGAAGGCGGAGAGTGATGCCACATGGATTTTGACAGAAGAGGTAAAGAGACCACCTGACCTAAGCTCAAAAAGGTAGTCCAGAATGGATGGGACAGGAGCACAGGACGGGTGCACCCCCCTTCCTGGACACTCAAGACAAGAACCGCCGCCACTTGGCTGCATAGGACCGCCTGGTGGACGGCTTCCTGCTACCTAGGAACACCATCTGCACCTCCTGGGAACATTCCATTTCTGATTGGGTCAGCCACGGATAAACCAGGCCGTCAGGTGGAAAGAGTTGAGATTCGGGTGAACCATGAGCCCCCAGTCACAAGGTTGGGTGAGGAGATCCTGAACCAGTGGGAGTGTTATAGGCTCCTCGGTGAGCATGTCTACCAGGATTGGGAACCAGAACTGACTGGGCCACCGAGGGGCTATCAGGATGACCGTGGACCTGAAGGGGACCCTGGTCAGAACCCTGGGAATTAAGGGGAATGGAGGGAATGCATAGAGGATGCCTGCTGGCCACGGTATGGTCATGGCATCTCCCCTGGACGGGACAACTTCGACAGGAACGTCTCATAGGCTCTCCTGACCACCCTGAGCTCCCAGACATTTATGTGCAGGGCTCACTTTGCAGGAGACCACAAGCCCTGGGTCCTGTGACGCCCCAGGTGCGCTCCCCAACCCAGGTTCGTGGCATCTGTCACCGGTGTGATTGAGGGGGGAGGCACAGTAAACGGAACTCTGCTACACACCACAGCCTCCTGAGTCCACCACTGTAAGGTGGCGATTACCTCTGGAAGCACTGTGAGAACCATGTCCCAGAGACCCTGGACTGGTCGAATGACTTTGCTAACAAGGCTTGCAGGGGTCTGAGCCTCATTTGAGCATAGCGTACCACATATGTGCATGCCACCATGTGGCCCAGCAGTCGTAATGGGGAACCGGGTTAACTTGGAGATCAGCTCCACTATGGCCAGAAATCTGTCCCTGGGGAGGAATGCTGTCACCACCCTGGTGTCCAAGAGAGCCCCCACGAATTTGAGGCGCTGAGAGGGAGTCAACAGTGACTTTTTCTCGTTGAGCATGAGGCCCAGTCTTACGAAGAGAGTTCTTGTAAGGGAAACATAAGCCTCTACTTGTTGGTAGGATCGACCACGAATCAGCCAGTCGTCTAGGTACGGAAAAACGTGTACCCCTTTTTTTGCGGAGGAAAGCCACTACGACCGACATGCATTTTGTGAAGACCCTGGGTGCTGTTGAGACACCAAACGGGAGCACCGTAAACTGCAAGTGACAGCAGGATACAATAAAGTGGAGGAACCTCCTGTGGCTGGGTCTTACTGCCACATGGAAGGATGCATCCGTGGTCAGTGCTGAAGAGCCCGGCGCCTGTGCTCATATTTGTGCCGAAGAGCCTGGTGCCAAAGACTGAAGTGGCACCCTGGCCAAGAGGGTCCACAAGGCTTGAGTAATACGGTGCCATTGATGGTGACACAAGGCCTGAGAAATACGGCAAAGGAGCAGCCAAGACCAGTTCCGGGAGAGGTCCCAGCACTGATGAGGGTCGAGGCTAGTTGGGCACCGCGTGAGGCCTGGCAGCCTGCGTCGAGGCTGGCACCTAGGTAGAGGCAAGCGGTACTGGTCCCACAGGGGATGGTCCAGCTGCATATGTAACTAGTGCCGACCAATCCAACCGGTGCAGAGGAGAAGCCGGTGCCAACATGGCTCCCAGCGTCGAAGACCTCGACCTCTCCGCCTCAACCGACAATGGAGGGGAGGTAGTGAGGCTAATAATCAGGTCCTGCGCTGCTTCAAAAGTGTCCAGCATCGAAGGACGATGTGAGGGTAGCTGACCTGGACTTGATGGTCGTACAGCTCTCTTATGCCGCACCGGGGATTCAAGGCGACAGTGCAGGCCGAACCTGGACTTCTGGCTCAGAGACCTATCCCACGAAGACCTTAACTTCTTTGGCGTGAGTGAGAACAGTGAGTGAGAACAATGCCGAGGCCTCAGTACCGAAGTCCGTGCATGGGATGAAGCGTTGCACGTTGACGCTGGTGCACTGCGCACCGTGGAATGTCTGGTCGGTTCCGGCTGTAAAGCCACCTCCATGAGGAGAAGCTTCAAATGCGAGTCCCGCTCCCTCTTCGTGTGCAGCTTGAACGACCTGCAGATCTTACAGGCATCTGCTAGGTGACCCTCACCCAAACACTTCAAACAGCTATTGTGAGGGTCTCCCTTGGGCATGAATTAAGCGCATACAGCGCAAGCCTTAAAGCCTTGCGGCCCAGGCATTCCTCACGCCCGAAGGGGGAGAAGGAGAAACACAAAGAACTGCTAAGCATCTAACTACAGTAAACTTCCGATAATCCGGCACATTTAGGACCCAGGGGGTGCTGGACTATCAGAAGGGGGGGCTATGAGGGGTCTGGAGTGGGGTGGGAGGGGATGCCACCCTGGACCCCTCATAGCCCCCCCTTATGATAGTCCGGCTCTGCCCCAGGCATCCTCAAGAGCAGCTGCGGTGCTGCCGGGTTGGTCCTGAAGCCCCGAGGGGCAGCGCTACGGGACCAACCCGGCAGCACCCCAGCTGCTCTGCTCCCGGCTTGCCCCGTTCCGCTGCTGGTGGCAGGGTTAGTCCTGCAGCCCCGAAGGGCAGCGCTACGAGACCAACCAGGCAGCACCCCAGCTGCTCTGCTCCCAGCTTCCCCGATTCAGCTGCTGGTCAGTTTCAGCAGCAGCTGAATGGGGGAAGCCTGTCCGGCTGCCCCAGCACTTCCGGGTTCCTGATGGTGCCGGACCATCAGGAGTCCCGGAGCATTAGATGCAGGACTAATGGAGTTTTACTGTAATTTGAACTATTTACAACTATCTATAACACTAAGAGAAATGGGAACCATTAAGTACTCTAACAGAGAGACACGCTCCAACGACCGTCATGGGCGGTAAGAAGCAACTGAGGAGGGGGAGCTTATGCTCCACCATAGTGGCGCCACTCCAGAGGGCGCCCTGCTGGCGCTACGGATACTGCTAGGGAAAACGCTCTGGAAGATGTGGTGCGTGCACCTGATTCAAATGGACATGAGCAACCACTTGAAGTAGTCCCAGAAAGGGACTGTTTTCCATAACATGCAAAGGGAGGAGCGGGTGTTTGGAGGAATGCAAAACTGAGAGTGGCCACTGGAGGGCAGAGAGCCTGCAGGGAAGAGCTATCCTGCAGAGTGTCCACTGGGGACAGCGGAACCACCAAGGGAGTGGCCAGCATGGCTGGGGCTCTGCATCTTGCCTGCCACCAGACAGGATAAGTAGACTCTCCTGCCCCAAACCCTTCCCTCCTCCCCACCCCCAGTGCCATGGGGAGAGGGAGTGAGAAGGCCCCTGGTGGCTGGGATGGGGGGAGGGACCGGGGCAGAGGGGAGAAAGCACCCCTGTGTAACTAGGGAAGACTGGAGGGAGAAAAAAAAGATCTGTGCTGGATGGGACCCATGCCCTGAGCCCCTCCTCATCCCCCAATCATCACTTTTATTTCCCCAACCTCCTGCACTGCCCCCCAAAAGCCTGTGCCTTGACTCCTGCACCCCGCTACACCACCAGCCTCCTGCACTGAAGGATCCAGGCAACGCTGGATAATTCTGCTAGTTTACAGTAAGAAAGAGAGATAGCACCTCTAGCACCGTACACCAGATCCAAAAGTGAATAGAACTGTTACCCACCCTCCTTGTAGTGGGCCAGAGAGCCTGAACAGAGGTGGGGAGGATATGGGCATTAGATTCCAATACAGCTGTATTCTTCAAGAGAAGGAAAGCAGGGAGGAGAGCAGGAGGGTTGGAAGAGATCAATGGAAGATCATCAGCCACTGTAAATAAAGGCATTGGAGTCCCTTACCCCATCTTTACAGAAGGTGGAGAAGGGAGGGATGGGGCTATAGCTGGCATACTTCTGTTGAGTAAGATAGCCTAGTCCTGCACCTAATTTGACCAGCCGTGGCCACAGAGAGGGGCTGCATGGAGGTTCTCAAAGTTTTCCAGCTTATCTATTTTGAGATCACAGGAATACAAATAGAGGAGCAACTTCAATGGCCACTGCCTGCATCAGAGGCAGAACAAGGAAGAGAGAAGTGAAGCTTTAGGACAGCAAGTGCTCTGTCAATCAAAGAGGAAACACATCCCTTGTGAAGTGGTGCATTAAGGGCACAGAAAAATTCTGAACATTCAAGATAGTAACTAACTGTGCTTTCACTGAAGTCAATGTAAAACTCACACAGCTGTAAAATGGGAAAAAGGATACATACCTCCTTTGCGAGGGGCTTTCAGATCTATTTATGTACAGTGCTATATAAAAGCTATGTGTTATTAAGTGAAAGCAGACTTGGTCAACACTGATCATTTGAATATCCTGCCCTCAATATTTATTTTTGTTGAAAAAAAGTAAGACCTAACATGTTTATGGCTAATGTTCTGAAAGCCATTATTTCAAACAGTTTAAAGTTGACTATCAGCTACTTAGTTTTTAGTTTCATCTTCATTCCCCTCATCCTTGCTTGCCCCACCCTGATTCTGTTGCATTGAATATTTATTTTCTGTGAAGCATCTAGCACATGTTGGCCATGACAAAATAACAAACAAACTTGTAACTATTTCCCCCATGCTTTAAATAGAACAAATCACAGAGTTAGCTGCCATTAGTTTAATTCTCTTCGTGTTTATCCTTATCTTTAAATCACACATCTTGATGATGAGGCACAACTATTAGATGCTCTCTTCAGCTCCAGATGAAATAAGACAAGCTTGTTTAGTATCATCAAGAGTAATAATAAATAGAAATATACAGCATTTGATCCTATGCCCAATGACTGCATTTCTAATTTTTAGGGAAACCCCCCCAAAATATTAAGTATTTAACAAATAGTGCATACTGTACACGAAAAAGAAAATTACATTTATCTGAATAAGATAGACTGAAACAGACTGTATATCTTCTATTGTGTTACATTGTGTATCTTCTATTGTGTCACTTTACCTGCTGGGAAACCGAAACCATCTGCTGAATATTGGCAACAGTCGTTTGTTGCTGGACCACTTGTGGAAGCTTGGCAACCTTTAGATGCATAAAATAGAGAAGATTCTTGTTAAAAGAAAAATGACAGTTATTTTTTCAATACACTTTGTAAAACGGTTTATGACCGGTTTGGTCTATTCCGGCGATTACCAAGCCACAGCATTTTCTGAAAGAGCAAACTATCCTTTGGAAATTCCCCCCAGAGGAACTGGACAGTGTAGTGAGGAATTCTGCACTTGGGCAGTGTTTTATTTTCATTAAAAGCTTTAAGTTTATTGCACTAAATAAATCTTTTGGGTCAATCCACACCTTGTATGTTAGAGACATTGTTGCTAAGCAGTTAAACTAGAACAAGCTTAGTAATTCTAAAGGGTTGGACTGTCACAGCCTTTACTTGATTATGGAGGGGAATAAGGTTTCATTTCTTTAATCTCCTTGCTTGCCCAGTTAGATAGTGAGCTAGTTAAGCAGAAACGAGCAGGAACCACCAGTCTGCTACTTCCCATTGTATGTAGTGTTGATGTATCCATGTTGATCCCAGAATATTAGCAGAGATGGGAAAGGTAATACATTTTATTAGACCAACTTCTTAGAAGAGCTCAAAAGATTGTCTCGCAAACAGAAGTTGGTTCAAAAAAAGATGTCACTTCATGCACCTTGTCTCCACATTGCAAACAGTTTTGTAAGGAAGTGGTGGCAAACGGGAATAAAGCCAGGACTCTATTCCCCCTTTCCCAATCACTACTCAGAACTGTTGAGGGGTGAGTAGTGAGGAATAAGCTGTTGGATGAAAAGGGCTTAACTTACTCCTCAAAAGAAAGAAGGGTGCGGGGGAAGAATCATGGCTCTCCAAGTTACCACTCATTCTCTTATCTGCTCCTGGGTACTAGAGAGAACCCACAGCAGTCTACAAGGCTGCAATTGTACCCAGCGAGTTTTACAACCACAATCTGTTTTTAAGAACGTAAGAACATATAACCCGTATTGAGGCCAGCACTTAAACTCCAACCTGCCCGAAGAGCAGTAAAACTGTGGTCTTTGCTAATTACTAGTCACACAATATAAACTTCAAGGGAAGAAATTGTGCCCCTGTACCTGTATCTGTGCCTGCACTTGCTGGGTTCCACCGGGTTTTTGGGCCTGAGGAATTGGAGTTGTCAGGAATTGGGTTTTAATGGCTGGCTGTGCACTATAGGTAACTTTCTGTTGTTGTGAAGTCTGCTGTTGGGATTGGACAGCAACTTGTTGAGCGTTTATCTGGCGCAGAAAAATAGAAATCAGTGAGTACAGCACACTTCTGAAAAGATACATTGCTAATCACTATGCTTCAGTAATCAAATTTACTAGATTATTTCAGAGTTAATATTCAACAAATAAGTGTTGGTGAAAAACCAATGCACACAGAAGAAAAAACATTTCTGAACACAATGAACTTTCAGAACTTTACACAAACTTATAAACTTTAACTTGTAGCAAAGTCAATTTGACATTTTCCTCACTGAGAGCAAGGTCCGTGATAAATTTGAAGTTTCACGGATAAGTTGTTTTTATGATATTGTGCAAAAGGCACGTAGAAAATTTACTTGATGAAAATTCAGCACTTTTCCATATTTGGGTATATTTAAAGTCCAAAATTTTGTTTATTTTAAAACAGTTTTGGGCATGAAAAATCAACCAAAGTGTGATTTTTTTCAGAAAATTATTAAATGCCCAAAGATAGATGCTTATAATAGAAGTGCTTTCTCTACCAGAATTGTAGTTTCCTAAGTAAGTCTTCTGGGAATACATAGATCCTTCAGACCCATTCATCACAATCTGAACTGCTAAAAGTCTATGAATAATCTAGTGAAGACTTTGGTCACAGATGCTGTCACAACAATGCATAAAAAGAACAAATGAAGGAAATACCTTTTGCTGTACAGTAGCTTGGCCTTGTGCGACTTGGGGCTGGATGGCTTTCTGTTGCTGTCCTGTTGGATGATGCTTCAGTTTTAGCAGCTGTTGAACATGCAGAGGTTGTGCCACTACTGTCTGTCCTCCTGAAAATTAGGTAGTATATGTGAAACACTTTCAACTCATTTTTAAAGTTGACTGAATTTCAAACTGTATTTTTCAAATCTTGAAATGAGAGGGAGAAAGCATCTAGTACAAAACTGAAGTGTCACAGAACTTTACAAAAGCATATTGTGAAATTATACTGTACTCCCAATATATTGAAGTACCTGCGGCTTTCTGTGGCTGTCCAATCGCCACACTAATCCCAGCAACCGTAACAGGGAGAGTGGTTACTCCTGCAGATGACACGACAGCAGCTGGAACTGACACCACTGGAGGCTTTGCCAAAGTAACCTGCGCTGCCTGAGGTGTTTGGGCCTGGATCTGTCCTTGTGCTTGAAGCTGGGAAGCAGGAACACGAGTCTAAGCAGCAAGGAATTAGGATTATTGTACAGACAGAGAATATTTGGTGTCATTGCAAGATAATTGTATGTTAAAAACTATGGGCCTGATTATCATTTATGCTAAAGATCCTTTACATTGTTCTTAAAGTGGGTTTAAATTACATTTACACTCACTTTATGTCAGAGCAGTGCAAGGGGGGCTTCAGTGTACATGAGAATCAGATGCTAGAGTTACATACAACATCTCATTCATTTTAACGAGTGCAGAACTAGCTGTTTAAGTGCATTTTAACGGAGTGTACTGCAACTTACAAGACGAGCAACCTGCAGGTTTGTCACAGTTGTGCCCGTAAGTACTGCTCCAGGTCGGGGTGCCGTGACAGCAGTAAGTTGTTGAGTTTGTTGCTGCTGTTGCACTTGTACTTGTGTTGTCTGTTGTTGTGTCCCTGGTTGTGTCTGTTGTTGTGCTGCTTGCTGTTGAGGAAGCTGCAGTTTCTGTTTCTGCAATTTGATCAGCTGCTCCTGAAAGTACAAACATTTTTATGGTTTTCAATTTCATTATTGGTTTTAGGCATGGAGGATACATCTCCTGTATCTACAAGTTACGGTTGTTCTCCCAGTTCAGTCCAATGAGCAATGAAACAAAGAATGTGGCTCTGTTAAAGAACAGATACCTAGTGCTTGTCTACTGTTTTACTGGGAATACTGAATAAACTTAAACTAGTTCGCATCAGTGTTCCCTCTAACATTTTCTATCCTTGTTTGAGTTGAATTTTCTTTTGGGCAGGTTGAAATTTCTTATGTGAAACACCAATTGAGGTAGTGTGTGGATGTGTACTGCCAACAAACCAAACCAAAAACCAAACCAAACCAAAACACACACACACACACACACACACACACACACACACACACACACACACACAATATTAAAACAAGGGATAAATAACATGGAGCAATGCTTACGATATTTAATATGAAATCAAATAAAAAAAGATAATTAACAATATCTTTGGAATACATGTATCATCATCCTAACAACTCAAGCTAGTAAACACACCAACATACATATTATCCACAGACTTCAGCTTTAACATGCTAACAAATCTACGGGTCAACTACAAATAGCATGACTAATACAATATTTACTGACACTGGAAAGGAGAGTAAAAGGCATTCACTAAGGCTTATACAGTTTCTCTGGAAAGTGTTTAGGATCCATGCTATAAAAACAGATCAAAGTTCTCTTGGTTTGAAACTTTCATCTTGTGTGTGTCACCAACTCAAAAGGGTAGCTATGTTAGTCTGTAACTGGAAAAAAAACAATGAATGGTCCTGCAGCACTTTAGAGACTAACAAAACTGAAATAGTAGAAGCCCCAGAACAAATTAACACATGGCTTCAGGGTTTGTAGACAAATGTTTTAAAGAGCTTACAAATAAGGTTTCATCCTACAAAACAACTAGCTTCATACCTAGTACTTGCTACTTCTGACTTATAAGATCCAGAACTCTACCACATAACAAAGATCTGGCCTTAATGAAATATTATGTATTAATTAGTAACACAGATTTTAAAAAATCATTAAGATCAGAGTTTTAGATATCTTCAATGCTCAAAAAAAAATTCTATTAAAATTCTTTGTCTTTCTTACCTTAAGCCATTAACACCAATGTAAACTTTGTTTAAAATGTAATCATTCAAATGTCCTGGCACACATCCATCCCATACAGCCTCCCCTTTTGTCCCCCCGGCAACCCAGGCAACTCAGTCAGACAGAGAAGAGGGTCACATCCCAAACAAGAGAAAGTGAGTCATATCCCAAACTCCCTTCACACCTCCATCTTACTATACAGATGCCAGCACCCACCCACTCTCCTTCCCTCACCTACTCCTGTGCAATCTGTCCCCTCAGCCCAACCAGGGGCTGGGATAAAACCCTGCTTCTCAAACTAGCAGCAGTCTGCCCTGTCCTAACTCCCAGAAAAAGCACAAACAAATTATCCATACCTCCTCCACCTCACAACATAAACTCTTCCCCCCACTTCCCCATCTGCACTGCACCTCAATGCCAGCATCCACCCACCCTCCCTTCCCCCACTTACCCTTAGCTGCCCTTTTTCAGGAGGCTTGAGAGTGCTAAATTTCTGCCCCTCTCTTCCTATGCAGAAACAGAACTCTCCAAACTCCTCTCCCCTCTGACCCACTGTCAGCCAATTACTGCCTCCCTCCTTCCCCCAGTCACTTATTCTTTTATCTTCCTTCTTTACATGCTCTGGGAGCTGTTTTAAGCATGGAAACAGCTCCATTTAGCTGCTTGCTTAGTGAGATGATGCCCCGTCCTCTGCTGCTCAGCTGAGCTCCCTGCCTGCACAGGAGTTTTGGACTTCTGAGTAGAGCTCAGAAAACAGCTGTGCAGTTGCTCAGCCACATAGCTTACAGGGAACCTACATTATTGCGCTCTGTATTGCCATGACATTTTAGTCTGAGCAGCAGTGAATTTGACAGAGAACTCATGTTTTCTGTCTAGTATGAGAACATAAGTCACCACAGACATAATCACTGGTAAATGTTTAAAGAAAGGTATGAACAGCATTCTTGTTATCTTAGGAATGTTTCCCTCACCTGTGATAACTTCCCTACAGTTTTTATTTGGGCTGGAGACTGGGCTTGCGCCTGGGTCTGAATCTGTGGGACCTGCACCTGAGCAGCCTGCTGCTGCTGCTGCTGCCTGAGAAGCTGGAATTGAGTCGGTGTGATTGCTTTGCCAGAGAGTTGAACTGTTGGCGTAGCTGTAAATAAAGCAAAAAGGTTCTAAAGTGAAAATTACAATGTGATTAATTTAATCAACTTCACTTAAAGTTTTAATGCAACAATTAAACCTGTTATTTTCTGCTACACTAATTCCGAGGAGAGATTCAGGATTAGATTAAAGGAAAGAGACTGGAAAGAAAAGTCGAACAAAAAAATTAACTAATCTATATGGCTCTATTGCTCAACAAACCATTTAGAAAACTCAGACTCACATCCACAAGATTACACCAATTTATTGCTTTACACACCACCTTATTTCTGTGTCAGTAGTTAATGTCAGCACAGTGTTGGCTGCTAATGCTCAGGTATTAGCAGTTAAGTGAAAACTAATCCCAGCTCCTGCTGACAAAAGATTATGTTAAAATCCTCTTGAGCAGTTCATAGTTACATGGCTCCAGAATTAATTGAGAAAAATCAAACATTTACTTATGTATGTTACAATACATGCAGGTTGAACCTTGCTAGTCCAGCACTCTCTGGTCTGGCGACATACTAACCTCCTATGATTCAGCAAATTCTCTGTTTGGACACAGTCAGATTCTAGGTGCCGGACTAGAGAGGTTCAATCTGTAGAACTTTTCCCATAACACCTTTAATTTTAAGATCTCAAGAGTTTTATATACTTCACTTAAGCATACAACAGCCATTCCTTTTCCTGTGAGGTATCTTCATTTCATGGATGTACAAACCAAATACAGAATATATCACAATTAGAGATCAGAACAGAACAGTACAGAAGAGGTTTACTGGAACTCAAGAGTCCCAGAATGAGTTCTCTATTCTAATCACTACATTAGATTTCCTCTAACAAGCCTTACCCTGTCTTAATGTAGTGTCTGAATAAATAGTATGTAGAATCTCAGAGAAGATAATGTGCCACAACATTGTTTAATACAATTTATTATAAACTCTGGGGTGTACTAAAAGAGCATGTAAGTGAACATATGCATTTATTTTATACTGAAAACTATAGAAAGGAGACCCAATTTTCTCTGCTTTGTAAACTTATGCTGTTTATTAAAAGTGGCATAAAACAAAGTCCAGCTCAAACTAAGAGTAAATGAACGTAGACTGCAAATAGTTTTTCTTGATTGCATAAACAGAACAAATAAATACTTTTGTTTCTTGAAAATGGGGAAAGGTCACGAATAGTCAGTAAAACTGTATTTGCTGCAGTTACATATAATTATAATGAATGTTAATTACAGTAGTGCCTAGGAACCAATCAGAATATTTTCTCTATTTTGCACATTGTAAAACTTAATGGAGGAAAATATAACTTATGGTACTAAGGATAACTGGTTTTAAAAGTTTTCAGCAGCATTTAACAATTGTACTGTTGATAAATTCTGACTCCAGTATTCTGAGGCTGAGATAATCAAGTAAGCTACAGGAAGTTTAAGCACTTAAAAGTACACTAAGAAAGAAACCCCATGCAGTGTTTACCTGGTGTAACCTGAGTCACTAAGGATCTTGCCTGGGTCTGTACTGGAGTTAGGTTGGTAGTTACCACGGCTGATGCTGTCACAGATGTTACTGCTCGAACACCTTGGGTAGAGGCTATGGTCACCAATTCTGGTGCTGCTGCTGTTCGTTGCTGAGTATGCACAACCTGAGCAGAAGTACCACCTCCTGAGGTCTAAGAAGAAGAAAACCATTATTCTTCACTACTTTCAACTTGCATTTAAAATCACAGAACCTTCTGGAAACAAAGAACATATTGTTAGGTACAAATGTCATAAATAAAAGCAAGTATGTACATACCTCTCTAGTCTGTCTAAAATACTTCAAGATATCTAATGAATGGCCAGTCACAACATTCTCAGCATTCTGAACTGGAAGCCAATACTCGCTCTAATTTTTTCTATCCATGTGCAGAACAAATTTTGTTATATACACCAAGGCAAGTGAGAATGTGTACCACCAGAAGAAATACATGCTGCTGCTGGTGGTTGCTGTGCTAATCAGCTAGATGGCCTTTGAATTTCTCCTGGGAAGACTCCCAAGCACTCAGCTGCCAGGGAACACTGCTCTTAACTATAATACTGAAGTGTGAATTTTCTTCCATTTGCATTCATCATTTTTAGAGGTCTATATTTTCACATATTTAAAAAAAAATCACTGATAAGACATAGACTGGCAGACCTAAAGGCTAAATGATGTAAAAAGTCTTCTCCTCTAATTTCTCTTATTCCGAGTATCCAGGTCTCATTTAGAATAATACCACATTTTCACTAGCTGCTACAGTCTACCATTAAAAATAATTAAATTACAGTACAACTACTGCCATTCACTCACCGTCAGTGTCCCAGGTATAACAGGTGAAGCGAGACGTTTATTGATAGGCTGAAAGGTAGCAGCAGGGACTCCAGCAACTGTATTCACTATAACATTCCCACTTACAGTAGCTGAAAGTAAAACCAAGAAAAATATGAGACTACAAAAACAAAGTAGCTTTTTTTTTAACCTATACCCCAAGTGCTTTCCTAAAACATCTTACCAGTCTGTATACTTGTTCCAGTGACCGCTGTTTTGATTGCACCAGCCTGTTTAGAATAAAATTTGAATAATAGTTCTGAGAAAAATCAGAAAACAACTTAGCACAGATCTTTAAAATGACTTTTCTATTTAACATAATATAACTGCCCTATTGTGAGAATAAGAATTAACGACATTTATAAAAATTTTCCAATAAAGCACACAGTTATGTATGTATAAGTTCATCACATTGCACTTGTACAGCTATGCACATGTACAGTCTCCCAGAGCTGTGGTACTTGGATTCTTCTCTAACAAAATTAAATCAGCACTATATGCATAATATAACACACACACTCTGCAGCCTTAGAAACAGCAGCCTGAATTCTGTAATCAGCTCCAACAGCACTGACTCTGGGCTTGTTCAGAGCCACACTGAAGTTAGAAGGCATTTCATGGGCCTGATTTCATGGATCCAATTGCAGGATCAGAGTTGTAAAGTGGTATAAACAGTTCTTCTCTCCCCTCCACAATCACTGCCTCCCACCAAAGAGTGTATGTTGTTTCACAGAGCTTTTAGGTTTTCATCTGCTTAACAGAATCTAGACACCAAGGAGTAATTTTGTGAAAACTTCTTACATCACTGGGAATTAATCTGGCCTACAGTATCTACAGGTTAGCACGGGTCAGAAGTGGTGTGCTGAGATTTAATTTAATCACTTCTATTTATGGGCCTGCATGCCATTGATAGTTTTTCAAGTTAATAATACAGCAACAGCATTACTTACAGGAGTTTCATTAATAAATAAATTAAGATGCAGTCTTAATTTTTTTTAAATCCTGTGGTACTAAAACAGTAAGATCAGAGTTTTAGATATCTGCAACACTCCAAAAAAATTCTGTTAAAATAATATTTTTTCCTCTTTCTTACTGTAAACCATTAACACATACATAATCTTTGCTTGAAATGTAATCATGCAAATGTCCTCCTAGCACCCCCCATGCAGTCTGTTTTCCTACCCCGCTCCAACCCAGTCAGAGAGGACTGCAATCTGGATTGCAATAAATGAGTCAGATACCCCAAATAAACTGTCTCCTGCTTCCACCTCACTGCACAGATGATAACACCCACCCACACCCTCTTTCCCCCACCTACCTACCTGTACAATCTGCTCCTCCCAAGCCCAGGTGGGGGCTGGGATAAAATCCTGCATCTCAAACTAGCAGGCATCAGCAGTCTGTCCTGTCCTAACTCCCAGCTAAAGCAACTCCCGGACGTTTATATGGAGGGTCCGTTCTATAGGGGACCACAGACCCTGAGTCCTGTGCTGCCCGAGGTGTGCTCCCCAGCCCAGGTTGGAGGCATCTGTGACTAGTGTAAGGGAGGTGGAAGGGGTGCTGAAAGGAACCCCACTGCACACCACAGCCTCCTGGGTCCACCACTGTAGGGAGGCTAGCATCTCCGGGGGCACTGTGAGGATCGAGTCCCAAAGACTGACTGAAGGCCTTTGCCAACCAAGCCTGCAGAGGTCTCATTCTCATTCTGGCATAGCATACCGTGTATGTGCATGCAGCCATATGGCCCAGGAGCCTTGAGCAGATCTGAGGGGTCATGACAGGGGACCGCGTTAACCCAGAAATCAGCTCCACTATGGAGAGGAACCTGCTCCTGGGGAGGAAAGCTCTTGCTACCCTTGCAACGAGGAGGGCACCCACGAATTCGAGATGCTGAGAGGGGGTCAGGGATGACTTTTCCTTGTTCAGCATGAGCCCAAGCTTTAGGAAGAGGGCCTTCGTGAGTGACACGTGAGCCTTTACCTGCTCGTAAGAGCGACCTCGGATTAGCCAATCGTCGAGGTACCCCTGCTTGTGGAGAAACGCCGCAACCACTGCCATGCACTTGGTGAACACTCTGGGTGCCGTTGACAGGCCAAAAGGGAGCACCATAAACTGAAAATGGTGCTGGCCAACAGTAAACCTGAGAAACCTCCTGTGGCTGGTTTTGATCGCCACATGGAAGTACGCGTCCTTGAAGTCGAGAGTTGCGTACCAGTCTCCTAACTGTAGCACTGGAATGACTGAGGCTAAGGTTATCATTCTGAATTTGTGTTTTATGAACGCCTTGTTCAGATATCTTTGGTCCAAGATGGGACGGACTCCTCCTTTTGGTTTGAAGACAACAAAGTATCGGGAATAGAATCCCCGTCCCCACAGGTGTGGAGGGACCTCCTCTACTGCTCCCTTTCGTGAGGAGCACGGACACCTCCTGACACATGATGTGTTCAAGAGGGGTGTCCCTGAAGAGGGACGGGAAAGGGGGGTTGGAAGGTGGCCGGCCCGAGAAGGGAATGGTATAGCCTCCATTTACTATTGTTAATACCCAGGCGTCTGTTGTGATTAGTGCCCAAGCATGGGCAAAATGGGATAGCCTGGCCCCAAACGGGGGGCCAGGGTAGGAGACTGGTGCGCAACTCTCTATCAGCGTGTCAAAATTGGGGCTTAGCCTGATGGGAAGGGACGTGGGGTCCTCCCAACTGGCTGTCTGCCCTGGGGCGACGACAGCGACCCCTAGCGCCCGTGGGGGGGTGCGCAGCCGCCCTGGAACCTCCAACAGAGGCCCGGGAGCAGCGCCTACAGTAATCCCCACAGGGGACCTGGGGCTGCACCCTCCCCTGTTGCCTATAGGGCAGCTGGCGACGCTGAGGGGCAGGCGTGTGAATGCCCAAGAACTTAAGGGTAGACCTTGTGTCCTTTAGCGTATGGAGCCTAGAGTCGGTATGCTCCGAGAACAAAGTTTTGCTATCAAAGGGTAAGTCCTGGATAGTATTCTGGACATCGGGGGGAATCCCAGAGACTTGCAGTCAGGCACCATGGTGCATGACAACCCCAGATGCCTTAGCACGGGCTGCCGAGTCAACTGTGTCCAGGGACACCTGGAGAGCCGTCTGGACAATAAGCTTCCCCTCTGAAGCGCTGGC